CCTTATGGACCAAATTCGTTTCAGAAAATTTAGATTTCATCCGAACTTTGGTCATCTTATTATTTCCTCTAAGCTTAGTTCAAATTCGAAGATGGGGAATATCGGTCCACTCCTTCTGGAACCTCCAATCAGGGGCTAGGTATAACTGCGGCTATAGTTCATTATCGAACCTTACGTTCTAATTTTTTATCTCTCTATCCTCCGCAGGTGAAATGATTACAAAAGAGTCTTAGAACCAAACTCAAAACGCGAAACAAATCAGCTAACTATTTTAATATAAAAAAGGGGGATTATATGGGAACTACCCCAAAAAGGGGGCAAATAATAATAACTTTTGGTAGGGAGATTTGTTACCATATACGACTACAAAATACAATTGTTACCATATACAATACAAAATACCGAAAATTGGGGGTACCTTTATATGGGGGCTATCCATACTATGGTGGAGGGTATAAAAATAAAGATGTGTGGGCAAACATTAAGATTTTTTAAGAAGATTTTAAACTTCCACGGTAACCAATTAGGAAGACCCTGAGAAATTAGGTAGACTCCAGACGTATAATTAAATGTCATTTATACACTAGAGTTGAACAACAAACTAGTTCATTGGAAATATTCCTATATTAGCACCACTTCTTCAGTTCCTTTATGTTCAATTGATTTTTTCCAAATGTTGGCTGTTTTTACATCGGTTTTTTTGTTACTTGCTTAATTAATACAAAATTAAGCAAGTATACACCAAATATTATAAATCGCATTTCGTACTATATCGTCTGGGCTACCTTTCAAACTTAGACTTATTGCTGAACTAACTTCATTTTCTCATTCAACGGCTCATATAATTAGAAACGATAACAATAATTAAACTTTATTCCAAATTTGACCGAAAATGAAATAAAATAAAATTAAAATAATACAAAAATAATCAAAACTTAGCTTAATACTTCGTTGGGAAACCTTTATTTTTTATCACATCGGACAATCTCCGTGGTAAACTTTCAACCAAAGTCCGGCAACAAGAAGTTGGTATCGACTCACAGACTTCTTTTATATTTCGAAAGTGATCTTCATTATTTTTTGGAGTCTTGGGTTTTAACATTCTTTCGACATCTCCCCATAGGTTTTCGATTGGGTTTAGGTCCGGACTTTGTGGTGGCCAAGATAAAACCGCGGTATTCCTATCCATAAACCATTGTTTCACAAGTCGGGAAGTATGCTTAGGATCGTTAACCTGTTGAAAAACGCACGTAACGGCCATATTTTCGAACGAGTACGTTTCCATTACATTATCCCAATATATTTTTATATTGATGTTGGTCCATTCGACCATCTATGCGGTGTATGGGACCAACACCATACCAACTGAAGGCTCCCCATACCATCACATTTCCGCCGCAGTGTTTAATCGTCTTGATGGTGTATCTAGGCTCCAAAGATTTGTTAAGGGGCCGTCTTACATAACGTTTTCCATCTGATCCGAACACATTAAACGTTGATTCGTCGCTCCAAAGTATTTTTTTTCCCCAAAAATTAAGGAGTTTCTTCAGTGCTCTTTTGCAAACTGTAAGCGTTTCATAAAATGTTTGCTGGAGACCTGTGGTTTTTTTCGTGCAATGCATCCATGAAGACTAGCTTCTGTTAATCTACGTCGGATAGTTCTAGATGAAATATTTTGCGTAATTTGTGGAGTTACGATAGCATTTATTTCAGCGGAGTTAAAAAATGGATTGACTTTACTGGTTCTACAAATAACTCTATCATCGTGTTGAGTAGGTTTTCTTGGCTTTGGAATTCTTTTAGGGTTCTCAAAACTTTCTGTGTTTCGAAAACATTGTATTGTTCCAAAAACCATATTTTTTGAACAGCAAAATCTATTCGCTATGGCAGACATCGACTGATTTTCTTCATAATAGCAGCGTACAATCAACTCTCGAAGTGCTGGAGTGCATGACTTTTTCCCCCATATTTATGCTGAATTATTTCATAAATTAGTTAAATTTTATTTAAAAACAAAAAAAAACTAAACTTACTTTAAAACTTACATTTTTTATTAATTATTTTCTTATGAAAATATAAGCTTTACAATATTAAAATCGGTTTACTAAAATACATTGTGCACAGTTTTGAAGAAAAATCGAATAAATAACTAGTGGTCATATGGGTACAAAAACGGTGTTTCGTTGTTCCCTAACCTCGAATTAGAGGTTGTACATAGCTTCTAAGACGGTCTAGTGAAAAGGGAAATGTAAATTGATAAGATTTAACACCAAAATATGCTTCGTCAGCACTCGTGAAACTTGTTAGTCGGTAAACGGGGTGAAGAGCCCTTCACGACATTGCCTATATAACAGTAAAAAAACAAAAACCTGTATTATCGGAAAAAAATATTGCAAAATCAGGGTAAAAACGTTTCAACAAACCCAAAAGTTCAACAGTGGTTGACTGGAAACGTGTGGTCGGGAATTTGGAATTTGGTACAATGGGTTTTTATGGGATACCAAATTTCTACTCTAAATATTATAAATATCGGGGAAATAAACTCAAACCTGACAATAATGAAATATATCGACAGTAATTTAGGCATCTCCTCCAAAAATTATTGAAATTTGGGTTTAAAATATCATTTACCGATCATTAATTAGGCATTGCCCTCATATAATGATGTCCCCAAATATTCGCTACTTACTACACTATGTAATCAATATTGGTCTATCAGTATCGTTCCACGTTTTGGAGCTTTCCGATTTTAGGAAAAATCCCCATTAAAAATTGCTCAAATTTGTATTTGGAAACGTGTGATCGGGACGACGAATCCAACTTAAACCGTTTTCAATACGACAATAACCATTATTGGTGATGAAAAATAATTCAAAGGCCCAATGTGAAGCAGGGTTGAGGAATCGCCATGGTATGTGTTAGCGTTAACTTGTGGGTCTTGGACCGATGTAAAAATTGACAATATAATAATGAAAAAAGTCTACTGAGAGCCTTGTATAGTCATATCAACCGTTCTTGGTAGATAAAAACGCCTATCCTGTAGCAGAAGTAATTATGAGCAGGAAGATGATCAAAGACACACGTCCCAAATCGTGACAGAATATCTTGATGAGCAAACTTTTTAAGTAACATTTTTGAATTAAGTACTTCGTGGTAAAGATCCTCCTTTTTACAAAATTAATGTTTACTGCCTTATTTCACCGTTTGTCTGTTATCCTCATGGATAACAGGGTATTCTTCTCATTCCTAAAGCGAGTCTATCTATTTCGCTTCGCTACCGAAAGGGAACTAGGTCACTCATTAAGTAATTGGCGTAAATGAGCGGGCCATGACCATGACACAATAAATATCATTTAGCGCAGTTGATTCGATTCGAACTGTCAAAACAATGTTGCCAACCATTTAGAATATTACTAAAAAAAATTACAGATTTTATTTGACCATCTGTCAATATTTCTCATGGTTGTGCAACATTGCAAGTCGAATTTAAGTAGAAACTATGCACCATGATGCAATAATAAGGTTTCGACCATCTGTCAAAATTTTTCTTATAATATTTCAAACGGTTGGCAATGTTGCACTTCGAATTCAAGTAGAAATTACGCACTTTGACAGTTAATCGGGTAGGGATACGTAGTCGAGCGCAAAAGTCGACTTTTAGACTTTTCGATTTTTGCCTCTGACCAAAAAGTCGATTTTTAGACTTTTCGATTTTTGCCTTTGACTAAAAAGTCGACTATTCGATTTTGTCAAAACTATTCAAAATCGATTTTCGACTTTTACTGACTTCTGCAAAATCGACTAAAAATCTGATTTTTTATATGAATTGTTGTGAACAGAAAAGGTACAGTTCCGGAAAGTGCAATTTTTGGGCAATTTGAGCTTTGTAATAAAAAAACCAAGTATTTATGAAGAAAATCGAAAGTCGATCGTGAAAAGTCAACTTTACGATTTTCTCATAGATCAAAAGTCGACTTCGACTTTTAGACTTTTCAATACAAAACTTACTTATCCCTATAATCGAGTCGTCAGCTGCGCTAAATGGACTACCTTTTTATTGTGCCATGCTATGCACCATGGCCCATAATGCAATAATAAGGTGATGTATCAAAACAAAAACCTTTGTTTTTGTCTCTACCAGCTATCAAAATTTTCCTAGTAATATTTCACATGGTTGGCAACATTGGACATCGAATTGAAGTAGAAATTAGGCACTTTGACAGTCATTGTGCCATGCCATGGCCAAATAATAAGGTCGTCAGACAAAGCCAGCTGTCAAAATGCTTTAAATTTTTTCTTAATCGTATGAAAACGTAACAATTTGACGGCGTTGAGGATTTTAAACCAAAATTGCCGATAATATTCGCTCCCTACATAATCTGTTTAATGGACTTTGCTATGCACTTTGACAGTTAATCAGATAGTTAGCTGAGCTAAATGGGCAACTATTTACTTTAACATGATCAGGATGAAAGCGATGAAATCTAGATCTGCACCTAGTACCGACGACTAGGAGCAAAAAAAAACTTGATGAACGTAAGAACTGTTTTGACTATCGTTTGAACTAGTTGGTTCCGGTATGACCCAAGTAAAAGTTCATCGCATATTAGGTTCGATAGAACTCCGTACAAATGTGGATCCCAGAATAGTTGTCAATTTCAAAACTCGCCTCACTTCAATAAATTCCCCTCCCATTGTTATATGAGTTGGAGTTTTTTTTTTCAGAAAACATTCCTTTTATTTATTTCATGTGGGATTCCTTTTTCTTTCACCACAAAAAAACAAAAGAAATCGGTACTTTACCGCAGGCAACGAATTATCTGAACAATGCATCCATAAATAGCTTCCATTTTATCATATCTGAATGTATAAAAGACCTCATCTAGTAGACGCAAATAATCAGTCATTTTAATTACACCCTTAAGACGAATACATTTATACGGGCTTAAGTTTTTTCTTTTATCTAAATTGCGCATTAACTTCTTGATCGAAAGTTCAAAATGAGGATAACATGGATTTTATTATTCTGCTGTGTGGCCATGGCTACCGGCTTTAGCAGAGGTCGTGGCGGTGGTGGTAGCGGTTCAAGGGTATGTCGCAATAATATATACATATATAGAAAGAATATTTTTAGGGTCACCATAGACATGGATTTTTAAAAGAATGTTTTTTGAGAGCCACCACAGGCGTGAATTTTTAAAAGAATATTTTTTTCAACGACCACCATAGGCGTGGATTTTTAAAAGAACGACCACCACAGGTGTGGATTTTTAAAAGAACGACCACCATAGGCGTGGATTTTTAAAAGAACGACCACCATAGGCGTGGATTTTTAAAAGAACGACCACCATAGGCGTGGATTTTTAAAAGAACGACCACCATAGGCGTGGATTTTTAAAAGAATTTTTTTCTACGACCACCATAGGCGTGGATTTTTAAAAGAACAACCACCATAGGCGTGGATTTTTAAAAGAACAACCACCATAGGCGTGGATTTTTAAAAGAACAACCACCATAGGCGTGGATTTTTAAAAGAACAACCACCATAGGCGTGGATTTTTAAAAGAATTTCTTTTCTACGACCACCATAGGCGTGGATTTTTAAAAGAATTTTTTTCTACGACCACCATAGGCGTGGATTTTTAAAAGAATATTTTTTTCAACGACCACCATAGGCGTGGTTTTTTTAAAGAATATTTTTTTAAGAACCACCATAGGCGTGGATTTTTTAAAGAATATTTTTTTATGAACCACCATAGGCGTGGATTTTTAAAAGAATATTTTTTCAAGGACCACCATAGGCGTGGATTTTTAAAAGAATATTTTTTCAAGGACCACCATAGGCGTGGATTTTTAAAAGAATATTTTTTCAAGGACCACCATAGGCGTGGATTTTTAAAAGAATATTTTTTCAAGGACCACCATAGGCGTGGATTTTTAAAAGAATATTTTTTCAAGGACCACCATAGGCGTGGATTTTTAAAAGAATATTTTTTCAAGGCGTGGATTTTAAAAAAAAATAATTTTTTCAAGGCGTGGATTTTAAAAAAAAATAATTTTTTCAAGGCGTGGATTTTTAAAAAAAAAATTTTCAAGGCGTGGATTTTTAAAAAAATAATTTTTTCAAGGCGTGGATTTTAAAAAAAAAAATAATTTTTTCAAGGCGTGGATTTAAAAAAAAAAATTTTTTAAGGCTTGGATTTTTAAAAAAATAATTTTTTCAAGGCTTGGATTTTTAAAAAAATAATTTTTTCAAGGCTTGGATTTAAAAAAAAAAATAATTTATTCAAGGCGTGGATTGATAAAAAATAATTTTTTCAAGGCGTGGATTGTTAAAAAATACTTTTTTCAAGGCGTGGATTATTAAAAAATAATTTTTTCATGGCGTGGATTATTAAAAAATAATTTTTTCAAGACGTGGATTATTAAAAAATAATTTTTTCAAGGCGTGGATTATTAAAAAATAATTTTTTCATGGCGTGGATTATTAAAAAATAATTTTTTCAAGGCGTGGATTATTAAAAAATAATTTTTTTAAGGCGTGGATTATTAAAAAATAATTTTTTTAAGGCGTGGATTATTAAAAAATATTTTTTTCAAGGCGTGGATCATAAAAAAATATTTTTTTCAAGGCGTGGATTTTTAAAAAAATATTTTTTTCAAGGCGTGGATCATAAAAAAATATTTTTTTCAAGGCGTGGATTTTTAAAAAAATATTTTTTTCAAGGCGTGGATTAGTAAAAAATAATTTTTTCAAGGCGTGGATTGTTAAAAAATACTTTTTTCAAGGCGTGGATTTTTAAAAAATAATTGTTCTCGAGGCGTGGATTTTTAAAAAATAATTGTTCTCGAGGCGTGGATTTTTAAAAAATAATTGTTCTCTAAAGAACCACCATAGCCGTGGATTAAAAAAAATAAATTTTTCAAGCCGTGGATTTTTAAAAAATATTTTTTCAAGGACCACCATAGGCGTGGATTAAAAAAAATAAATTTTTCAAGGCGTGGATTAAAAAAAATAAATTTTTCAAGGCGTGGATTTTTAAAAAATATTTTTTCAAGGACCACCATAGGCGTGGATTAAAAAATATTTTTTCAAGGACCACCATAGGCGTGGATTAAAAAATTTTCTAAAGGACCTTTTGGTCCTTTCAAGAAAATATTTTTTAAGGACCTTTTGATCCTTTTAAGGACCAAATATGGTGTGGAAAAAAATATTTTTTTCATAATTTTATTTTTTATTTATATTTTAGTCTGGTATGCGATCTGTTGTACGTGCTCCATCACGACCTGCGTTTAAAGCACCGCCGAGGTCAATATCAAGACCTGCGATAAGAGTGGCTCCGAAGCCAGTAGTAAGGCATGCACCAAAACCAGTTGTGAGGGTGGCTCCGAAGCCAGTTGTAAGGTCTGCGCCAAAACCAGTAGTAAGGCATATCGCACCAAAGCCAGTAATAAAAACGGTTCCGAAACCTATAGCAAAACCTGCCCCAAAGCCAATTGCTAAACCTATAGCAAAACCAGTTACGAAGCCAATAGTAAAAGCTGAACCAAAGCCAGTTGTCAAGGTGGCTCCGAAGCCAGTCGTAAAACCTGCACCAAAACCAGTAAAACTTGCACCAAAGGCAGTGGTAAAACCTGCGCCAAAGCCAGTAAAACCTGCCCCAAAGCCAGCTCCGAAGCCAATAACAAAACCTATGGTAAAAGCTAATCCGAAACCAATAGTAAAACCTGCACCAAAGGTACGTATCGAAAGTCGTGCAGTTTTGTGTATATAGTTTTCAATAACTTCGTAATTTTTCTAGCCTGTTGTCAAGGCCCCTGTTAAACCAGCTGTGAAACCTGCACCAAAGGTCAGTTATTATAATTATTTTTAATTAATTATAATTTTTTATGCATACAAATATATTTCTTATTATAGCCAGTGGCTAAACCAATTGTTAAGGCACCTCCTCCCAAGACACCCGCTAAGCCTCTTGCAAAATCACCAGTAGTTGCCAAGGTAAAACCCCCTAACAATATTTAGTACCTAAATATATTTTTATTATCTCCATTTCGGGTTTTGGGGTCTCAAAATTATCAATATAGGTTCCCCCTATATTTGATAGATCGAAGGCCATTTTTAGGACTCATTTTTCAGATATTCATCATTTTCTATTTCTATTTATAGAAACCCACAAGTATAACATTCATTATCGAGGCCTTCTATTGATCAACGATGACGGAAAAAATCTTCGAAACTTCTTCGACAGATCCTCTATTTATTTATTACAAGTCCTTCCTAGATTACATACCGTCTTTAGAAGTTTCAGGGTAGCCCGCAAATAACGGAAACCCCAATATTCGGTAATTTGGGGATTTTGAACACGTTTTTCAATCGAATCGGCTGTAATTTAGTATTTTGGGTTCTCATTGTATATCACATATCCATACCAGAAATTATTAATATTGACCAAATATTCAGGGTAGCCCCATAAGACGGTACCCCCAATATTCGGCATTTTGGGGATTTTAAACAGGTTTTTCCAGCCGAATTGGCTGTAATTTGGTATTTTGGGTTCTCTTTGAATAACACATATCAGTACTAAAAATTATTAATATTGACCCATGTTTTAGGTTTGCCCCCATATAACGATACCCTCAATATTCGTTATTTTGGGGATTTTGGACACGTTTGAATTGGCTGTAATTTGATATTTGGTGTTCTCATTGAATATCAAAAATTCGTAACAAAAATTATTAAAATTGACCCAAGTTTTAGGGTAGCTCCCCTATAACGGTACCCCCCAATATTCGGTATTTGGGATTTTTGGTCACGATTTCCAACCGATATGCCTGTAATTTGGTATTTTGTATTCTTATTGGCTGTCAAATCTCACTACCAGGTATCACCCATTAATTTTAAATATTTTTATTGTCATCCTCATGGTGCAGAGTATAAAATGTTCGGCCAGGTCGAATATAACATCGTTTTTAGTTATTATACCCTTCACCACACTGTGGTACAGGGTATTATGTCTTTGTGCATATGTTTGTAACAGGCAAAAATAATCGAGGATATGCATAGAATCACTTTCCGAATCGGATGAAATTTGGCACAGCTCATTTGTTTGACCCAAGGAATATGAAATTGGGAAAAAATCAGATTTAGATATAGCTCCCATATATATTTTCTTTAAGGTGCACCAAAGTCCCTATATATCTTTCGATTTGCACGAAATTTGGCACAGCGTAATGAATAAGGTCTAGAATGATGTGTGCAAAGTTTCGTGAAAATCGGTTCATTTTAGATTTAGATATAGCTCCCATATATAGGTTCGTCCGATTTTAGGTAAATAGTCCACTAAAGTCCCTGAAAATCTTTTAATTTGCACGAAATTTGGCACAGCGTAATGAATAAGGTCTAGAATGATGTCTGCCAAGTTTCGTGAAAATTGGTTCAGATTTAGATATAGCTCCCATATATATCTTCGTCCGATTTAAGGTAAATAGCCTACTAAAGTCTTTGGAAATTATTTGATTTGCACGAATTTTGGCTTAGCGTACTGAATTAAGACTAGAATGATAAGTGTTAAGGTTCGTGACAATCTGTTCAGATTTAGATATAGCTCCCATATATATTTTCATCCGATTTTAGGTCAGGAATCATCTGTTGATGCATCCTAACAAAGTGGTGAAGGGTATATTATAGTCGGCCCCGTCCGACTTTACTACTTTCCTTACTGCTTTTTATTTGACAATTTTATTCTATTTATAGCCAGTGGTGAAACCCGTTACTGCCCCAAAACCTGTTGCAAAGGTTTGTACACACTTATACAGAAATTCGGAATAGATTTTTATAAATATATTTGAAAATATTTTTTAGCCTGCCGTAACTAAACCCGTGAATACACCAGCTAAACCTGTCGCCCCGCCGAAGGTACCAGTTTCGAATAATAAACCGAATACTGCTGTTAAGGTATGTAAATATGTGTGTATGGCATCGATGCAGAGCTAGAGCTAGTCATTAAGATAATATTTTAGTTTGATATTGAAAACTTCGTAGTCCTACGATTGTGGATACCGATTTCCAGATATCATTTCAGTTTCCACTTATTTAGAGATTTTATTGGTAAATTTAAGACCTTCCTTTTAAAAATGAAAAGCTGTCACCTTCTAAAGTCCTTCTATCGAATAAAGCCAACTTTTGCGAGTCTTCTTCTTCTATAGCGCTTCTATAGACCCCGTTTTCAAGACTGTATCAAAGGCCTTCTATAGACTTTCGTTAGCATAACTTCTTCAAGGATCCTCTTTTTTCTTTAGCTCAAAGTCTTGCATAAAATATTTTCTCAACGACTTGTCCTCCAGGTCTTTAGAGAAGAGAGGCCGTATTCAGTTTATTATTTGATCGAAGTCCTACATAAAATCTTTTCTTCAAAACGCGCCATTCAGGCATTTTAGTGTTGAAAGGCCTACTTCGAGTTTGCTTCCCCAGGCACTACATAGAATAGGTTTAGGTCTCCCTAGTGGATCGTTTTGAAATGTTTACCACATGTAGTCCTTGGGCCCTGATTACAATGTAAATCGGTATTTCCGGAGATATTGACATCCAAAGTTCCGTGGGGCCCTTGTATTTTCTCATAATTCTCATAAAATTGACCCTATGAGTATCAATTTAAAGCGTTTGAAGTCCTGATTACAAAAATATAATATTCGTATCAAATAAGTCCTTTAATTACTTTCTAACTTTGAAGCCCATATTGTTTTCCAAAATTCAGCGGACTACATATGGTTTCAAAACTCCACTAGGGTTAGACTTAAATCCAGTCTTTTTCCTTCAGATCCTTCTTCAGACTTTACAAGAAAACTTTGAAAGTCTCCGGAAACACCGATTTGCGCAGGAAAAAAAACTATACCGTTGTAAGCAGGTCCCCAAGGACTACATATGGTTTCAAAACGATCCACTAGGGTGCCTAAACTAGACTTAAGTCCAGTCTTTTTCCTTCAGATACTCCTTCTTCAGACTTTACAAGGGTCCCAACGTAACTTTGAAAGTCCATATCTCCGGAAATACCGATTTGCGCAGGAAAAAAAGTATTCCGTTGTAAGCAGGTCCCCAAGGACTACATATGGTTTCAAAACGATCCACTAGGGTGCCTAAATTAGGCTTAAGTCCAGTCTTTTTCCTTCAGATACTCCTTCTTCAGACTTTACAAGGGTCCCAACGTAACTTTGTAAGCCCATATCTCCGGAAATACCGATTTGAGCAGGAAAAAAACGTATTCCGTTGTAAGCAGGTCCCCAAGGACTACATATGGTTTCAAAACGATCCACTAGGGTGTCTAAACTAGACTTAAGCCCAGTCTTTTTCTCCAGACCTTCAGATACTTCTATAGATGAAAACCCTTATTTAAGTTTTCTTTAGGTCTTCAGTACATTGAATGTGTAAATCGTTGGGTTTTAAATAAGAAATTTGTCTCTTAAGATTTTCTCTTCGAAACTCCTTCCTTACGATTTCCATAATTAGATAACATTATTTCTCAGCCCTCCTGTAGACGTAATATGACCTAATTCAAGACTTCTTCTTCAGGATTTCCATAAGTAAATGTCCTCCCAATTTTTCATTTCATATAAATTAATTTTTAGTCAAGTGTGCCTTCAGTTTCACCTCATCAATCGACTTGCGTCTAAAGCGCCGTCGTGGTCAATATCAAGATCTGCGATAATAGTGGCTTCTTTGTCTCTTATGATATTATTCTTTAGGCCTCCTCTTTAAGTAATATGACCTATTTCAAAACTTCTTCTTTGGGATTTCCATAAGTAAATGACCTCCTTTATGGCTTATTAAGGCCTTCTTCAATTCCTCATCACCGTACGTTTGATAGATCGAACATATTTTTGTAGGACTCGTTTTTCAGATTTGCTTCTATAAATTGAAGACACTTTAGCAGATCTTCGAAATAGATCAAATATCAAGAAGAAATTTTTATTGAATGAAAATTCAGGCCATCTGCAGATAATTTATCTTCCGCATGACTCTTTCAGATATTGATTAGACCTCAATGACGAAATATCTAGACCTTGCAAAAGAGGACCTTTTACTTTTTCAGACAACTGAAGACTTAGGAAAAATCGTCTTCGAGACTTCTATACCTGACCTGTCATAGCTAGAAGACATTCTTCAATTCAAATCCAGGTCTGCCAAGAGATACTCTTCAGGCCTTTCTTTCAGGCGTTTCTTTTCGGGTTCTTTGACAGATGAGTGGTGTTCCTCAACTCTTGCAGAAGTTCTTCTATTTCTTAATATAGACTCCTTCCTTAAGGCCGTCTCTATTTTGAAGATATTCGAATATTGTTCTAGGATTTTAATATCACATCTTCTTCGAGGCTTCACTTTCTGGGCTTTCTTAGCTAGGAAACCTTCTTTAAATACAATCTTCCCTAGGTCTCCCATAACAATTTAACATTTTTCAAGACATTCTCTTCAGACCTGGTTTCTTTGACTACCTCTTCAGAAATCCTGGATAGACAAGTTTCTTTGTTATTACTTGTTTAGACCTTTCACAGACTCCTTCCTTAAGGCCTTCTCTATTTCATATAGACTCCTTCCTTAAGGCCTTCTCTATTTTGAAGATATTCGGAATATTCTTCTGCGACTTTTATATTACTTCTTCGGTATTTCTCCTTCTGGCAATTTTCAAGACATCCTTTTCAGGCCTTTTTCTGTGATAGATAATATTATTTACAAGTGCTTCTTTAGGCATTTCACAGACTAATTACCTTCCCCAAGACTCTTGCAGAAGGTCTTCTATTTCTTCATATAGACTTCTTCCATAAGGCCTTCTTTATTTTGATTTGATATGATTTTGATATGACATCTTTTTCGAGGATTTTTCCTCTGACCTTTTTTAGCTAGAAAACCTTCTAATCTTCCCCAGGTCTCACATAATCATATAACCTTTTTCAAGACATCCTCTTCAGACCTTGTTTCTTTGACTGCCTCTTCAGAAATAGTGGATAGTCAAGTTTCTTTACGAAAGTATTCGGAATATTCTTCTACGATTTTTATATTACTTCTTGGGGATTTCTCCTTCTGGCCTTTCATAGCTAGGAGACCTTTTTTAATTCAATTCTCTCCATAAATAGATTACCATTTTCCAGACATCCTTTTCACGCCTTTTTCTTGGACTGTCTCTTCAGAAATCCTGGATAGACAATATTATTTGTATGTGATTCTTTGGGCTCTTGCAAAAGACTTTCTCTTTCTTCGTATATAATCATTCCTAAAGACCTTCTCTATTTTGACGATATTCTGAGTATTCTTCAAGGATTTTGATATGACATCTTCTTCGAGGCTGCGCCTTCTGGCATTTCTTAGCAAGGAGATCTTCTTTAAATCAAATCTTCCGCAGGTCTCCCATAATCATATGATCTTTTTCAGGACATCCTCTGTAGGCATTTTTTCTTGGACTGACTCTTCAGAAATCCTGGATAGACAAGATTTTTTTCCGAGTGCTTCTTTAGGCCTTTCACAGATAAATGATCTTCCTCAAGAATATTGCGGAAGATATTCTCTTTTTTAGATTCTTTGTTGAGGCCTTTTTTATATTTAATGGATTCCAAAGTCAGGACATCTGTAAATAAAATATTTTTTTCTATATATAAGAAAACTTCGACAAGTCTTATTCTTCAGATCATCTAGGCACAACTTGATTACATTTTCCCACAGAAAACCTCTTCAGAGCTTCCACAGAAAAATCGTTTTCTTTAACCTGAAGCAGTTTTCTTTTCTGTTGGAGCCTTTACCACAGGCAAGAAATCTGCTTCGGGGTATATTTCCTTACGCCTTCGATAAAGCGAATACCATTTCTCAGACTCCATTTAAAATGTTTTTTTTTTCAGGCATTTGTATATATCGGTCACCTTCATCAGATCCTATATCGATACAATTACTTATTCAGGATCTATCAATTCAAATTACTATTCAGAATGTAGACTATTGATAGATGGAATTTCATGTTCCAGGCTCCCAATCTTTGTAAGGGTTCTGTGTCGCAGATTCTTTGTGTGCAAGCATACAAAGAACATTTTCGTATTCTATAGATATTTGAGATTTGTTCATCAGGTCCACTTTAGATTAAATTTCTTACAGATAATTGATTTTCCGCAAGACTCTTTCCTAAGACCTTCTCCGATTCGCCTTCAACCGCTCTCATATAGGTGGAATTGTTTCACTCCTTCATCAGGACCTCTATATACTGAAGATTTTCTTGAGATCTTCTTCAGACCTTCTATAGATATCAGAACTTCTTCAGGCAATCCGTTTCCCTTTCATCAAGGAATCCCAGACCCTTTTTGTGCCGGCATACAAAGAACATTTTCTTCGATATAACATTTTCCGATTTTATATGGGAAAAATTACTTAATTGGCTCTTCACAGATAAATTTTTATTCTTCGAAACTTATAAGACGTTTTTTTCTGAATCTCTTTCATCAGACCTCGTATAGATAGAATGTCTTAACTTTCCTTTTTCAGGTCTTCTATGTCTTGAAGATATGCCTTAATGTCTTTCAAAGGCTTTCTATAGATATCAGACCTTTCCTTCAGACAATTCCTAAATAAAATAACATCTTCAAAGACAATTCTTCAGTGCTTCTATAAATCGGAAAACTTATATAAAACTCATTTTGCAGGTCAACTAGAGTTTGGACCAATATATTATATTTTTCCCCATTAGATACCCTCCTTAAAATTTCCATAACCACCATCAGATCTATATGGAGAGATTAGGATTAGGTTTCACTTGTTGGGACTTCTCTATATTTAATACCTTGTTGAGGCCTTCCACAGACCTTCTATATATTTCATACCTCTTTCAGCTATTTCTCGATAAACTATCTCCATCCTACCCCATTTTTCAGTGCTTACGTAGATAGAATAACTTTGACAATACATATTCTAAAGATCTCCGAGATTTTTTCATCAGGTAATCTATAGGTATTCGTATTCAGGCCTCGTATTCAGGCCTTCTACAAATTAATTTTCTTCCTCAAGACTCTTTCCTAAGACCTTCTACGATTCGCCTTCAACCGCTCTCGTATAGGTGTAATAGCTTCACTAAGTCTCCTTCATCAGGACTCGCATTTATTGAAGATTTTCTTGAGGTATCGATCGGACCTTCTATAGATATCAGAACTTCTTCACGCAATCCGTTTCACCTTCGTCAAGGAATCCCTTGATAAAACACCTCCATCCAAGCCCATTAATTTTTCAGTGCTTCTATAGAAAGGAAAATCTCTACAATATTCCTTCCGACATCCTATTTTAAAAAATTCTTATTTGCATACATTTTAGACCCCAACAAACCCATCCAAACCCGCAACAACACCTAGCAAAGTTGATCCCAAACTAAGTGGAACGATAAAAATCGAACAACCGATTTCACCCAAACAACCGGCCAACCTTAATATCGATGCCAAAAAGAATTTGTGGGAAAGTAAAAATAAACAACATTCCTTGGATGCCACAGTGAATGTCAACAAAGCCCTCGTTGGAGGTTCTAAGGGGAAACCCGATGTGACAGTGGGTGGCCAGTATACCTATAATACCGACAAGGTAGGTGTGGAAAATAAATACAATTTCTCTTTTGATTTTTTTTAATAGTAACCTTCCTTTTTAGACCCAAATCCAAGCAACTGCCAGCGGTAAACCCCACCAGGGTGTTGATCTCAATGTTCAGGGCAAACAAAATATTTGGCAAAGTGCAAATCAAAAACATTCACTGGATGTTAGTGGCGATGCTTCAAAACATTTGGGTGGTCCATTGGGTAATACCAAGACAGATGTTACGCTGGGTGGCCAGTATAGTTTTAACACGGATAAGGTAGGATATAAATTCCTAATTTATATTTTTTTTATTCACATTTCTTATCCTCCCCTAGACCCAAATAACGGCTGGTATCAAGGGTAAACCGGGTCAGGGTATTGATACGAGTATCAGTGGCCAACAAAATATTTGGGAAAGTGCCAATAAACGTCACTCGGTTGATGTCAATGCTGAGGCTTCGAAACATTTGGGCGGACCCCAGGGCAATGAAAAGACCCAAGTTAATTTGGGAGCCCAGTATACCTATCAAAATCCTAAGGTAAAAATTTGGGTTTTTAAAAACATTTTTGGATTTTTTTTATAATTTTTTTTTTATTTTTTGTTGTTTCTTCAGACCCAAATAACCGCCGGTGTAAACGGTTCACCTGGCCAGGGTGCCCAAGTTAGCGTGGATGCCCGCCACAATTTGTGGCAAAATGACAAGGGCAATACTAAAATCGATGTCACCGGTGGTGTATCGAAACAAATCAGTGGTCCAAATGCCAATGCAAATCCAAATGCCAATGTTGGCATCGAAATATCGCATGATTTTTAAAATCGGAAAAGAACGAGAATTATTTTTTTTAATAAGAAAATTAAAAAAAATTTATTAAAAAAACCAGTAAGGAAAGTAGTAAAGTCGGACGGGGCCGACTATATGATACCCTTCACCACTATGGTTATATTAAACAGGACAATTAACATAAAATTGGATGAAAAAAATTTGATATTTATCTAAATCTGAATCTACCTAGATCTATCCATAAAGTATGTCAATCGACTTCAAACAAATATAAATAGGTCATCCGTTGGGCTATGTCGGTACTTCTAGAAAACGCAACTACGTAATTCTATACTCAATTTTGTACGTTGTGCAAAATTTGATGTCAATCTGACTAACATGAGGAGTTTGATGCCCAATTTACTTGAAATCGGGCGAAAATATATATGGAAGCTCTATCCAAATATTGAGCGATTTCAAACAAACTTGTCACAGGTTAGGTTGTACTAATTTCAGAACGTTTTGTTCCTATAGGTTCCTTAGTACGTCAATTACTTAAAATCAATCTATAAGAAAAGGGAGCTATATCTAAATCTGGACCGATTTTCACGAAACTTGGCAGACATCATTCTAGGCTCAATTAAGTACGTTATGCCAAATTTTGTGCAAATCGAAGGATATATAGGGACTTTGGTGCACCATTTACATGAAATCGGACGAAACTATATATGGGAGCTATATCTAAATCTTGACCTATTTTCACAAAACTTGGGAGACAGTACGTTATGCCAAATTTCGTGCAAATCGAAAGATATATAGAGACTTTGGTGCACCATTTACATGAAATCGGACGAAACTATATATGGGAGCTATATCTAAATTTCGACCGATTTTCTCGAAAGTTGGCAGACATCATTCTAGGCTCAATTCAGTACGTTAAGCCAAATTTCGTGCAAATCGAAAGATATATAGGGACTTTGGGGCACCATTTACATGAAATCGGACGAAGCTATATATGGGAGCTATATCTAAATCTGGACCGATTTTCACGAAACTTGGCAGACATCATTCTAAGCTCAATTCAGTACGTTATGCCAAATTTCGTGCAAATGGAAAGATATATAGGGACTTTGGGGCACCATTTACATGAAATCGGACGAAACTATATATGGGAGCTATGTCTAAATTTGGACCGATTTTCTCGAAAGTTGGCAGACATCATTCTAGGCTCAATTCAGTACGATATGCCAAATTTCGTGAAAATCGAAAGATATATAGGGACTTTGGGCACCATTTACATGAAATCGGACGAAACTATATATGGGAGCTATATCTAAATCTCGACCGATTTTTTCGAAACTTGGCAGACATCATTCTAGACCTAAATGATTAGGCTGTACCAAATTTCGTGCAAATCGAAAGATATTTAGGGGCCGTTTACATTAAATCGGTTAAATATATATATGGGAGCTATATCTAAATCTGAACCGATTTCCCAATTTCAATAGGGTTCGTCCTTGGGCCGAATAAGTGACCTATGCCAAATTTCATCCAATTCGGATCATAAATGCGACCTGTACTTTGTTTACAATTTAACATGGACAGACAGACGGACAGACGGACAGACGGACAGACGGACGGACGGACGGACGGACATGCATAAATCGACTTAGAAAGTGATTCTATGCATATTCTCAAAAGGAACCATGTGTCTATCTCGTTTCCTTTTGCCTGTTACAAACATATGCACAAAGACATAATACCCTGTACCACAGTGTGGTGAAGGGTATAAATATTGTGTACTAATTAGATGTAAATTGAAAATTTTATAAAAAAGTTGAATAAAAAAATCCGCAGAAATAGCTGCTCAATAATATTCACAAAATGTCTCATCAAAAATATTAAAAAAATCATAAGGAATGTTCAAAAGTCAGACGGGCCGACTATATACCCTTCACCACTTCGGGTATTGACATGTATATATCGATAAAATCAATTAAAACAAACCCCTTCTCTAAAGATTTTGTTCGAAATTTAATATAAAGGACTAAAAGAAACAACTTTTTGGGGACCTCAAATCGGACGAAATTATATAGGCGAGCTATATCTAAATCTGAACCGATTTAGATAAACATTTCAAGGCTCAATGAGTCTATGCAAAATATGCTCAATGAGTCTATGCAATATTTTGGGGGTTTGAGGTACCATTTAGATCAAATCGGACGGAATTATATATGGGAGCTATATCTGAATCTGAACCGATTTCAACGAAATTTAATACACGATATTCTAGACTCAATAAAATACAATATGCAAAATTTCGTGTCAGTCAGACATATTTCGAGGGTTTGGTGCACCATTTACCTCAAATCGGACGAACGTATCTATGGGAGCTATATCTAAATCTGAACAGATTTTAACGAAACTTAACACACATCAATCTGGACTCAATTAAATACGCTGGACAAAATTTCGTCTCATTCAAACATATTTCGGGGGTTTGATGAACCATTTACCTCAAATCGGACTAAATTATATATGGGAGCTATATCTGAATCTGAACATATTTCAACGAATTTTAATACACGATATTCTAGACTCAATTAAATACACTATGCAAAATTCCATCTCAATCTGATATATATATATATATATATATCAGATGTATGGCGCAACATTTACTTAAAATCGGACGAAATTACATATGGGAACTATATCTAAATATGAACCGATTTCAACGAAAATGAATAGACGTCATTCTAGGGTCATATAAATTCGATATGCAAAATTTCGTCTTTGTCAGACATATTTTGGGGGTTTGAGGTACCATTTACTTCAAATCCGAGGAATTATGTATGAGAGCTATATCTAAATCTGAATCGATTTCAACGAATTTTAATACACGATATTCTAGACTCAATTAAATACGCTATGCAAAATTTCGTCTCAGTCAGACAAATTTTAGGGGTTTTTGTGCACCATTTACCTCAAATCGGACGAATTTATATATGGGAGCTAATATCCAAAATCTGAACCGATTTCAATGAAACCTAATAAACACCATTCTAGACTCAATTAAATACTCTATGCAAAATTTCGTCTTTGTCAGATATATTGTCGGGGTTTGGTGCACCATTTACCTCAAATCGGACCAATTTATATATGGGAGCTATATCTAAATCTGAACCGATTTCAGTAAAACGTAATATACGCCATTCTAGACTCAATTAAATACGCTATGCAAAATTTCGTCTCAATCGGATATATTTTGGGGCTTTGAGGTACCATTTACCTCAAATTGGACGAATTTATATATGGGAGCTATATCTAAATCTGAACCGATTTCAATAAAACTTAATACACGTCATTCTAGACTCATTTAAATACGCTGGACAAAATTTCGTCTCAGTCAGACATATTTCGGGGGTTTGATGAACCATTTACCTCAAATCGGACGAATTTATATATGGGACCCATATCAAATACTGAACCGATTTCAATACACCTTAATATACGTCATTCTAGACTCAGTTAAATACGCTGTGCTAAATTTCGTTTCAATCAAACAAATTTTGGGGGTTTACCACAAATTGGACGAATTTAAATATCAGAGCTATATCTAAATCTGAACCGATTTCTAGACACAATTAAACACATTATGTAAAATTTCGTCTCTTGCTTACTTATATAGCTGGCTTGTGACAGAACATTTGTTACATAAGTCGAGCTTAAAAAATATTTCCAGGCGCGTCTATCTTGTTCGCAGTACTTCCAATTTGAAAGGCAATGTTCCGAAATGTTGTCTTCCACATGATATTGCCATCAGGTTCGCTTTTATATGCCTGGTTCGCTTTTATATGCCTTATGACCTATGGCATCCACATCCATACAGCTCGATACGTCTGACTCTGTCCATGTCCTAGAATATATGGTACAACTCATGGTTCATTTGACGCCGTCGACGAAGATCAGCCCATAAATCTTCCGGAAAAATTTTCTCTCAATAACTTCAAGAACTTTCTATCATCTGTTTGCGCAAGTACCCATGCTTCAGATCCATACAACAGCACGGGTACTATCAGCGTCTTTTAGAGTGTGAGTTTGATCTGGCGAGAGGTGGCCTTGTTTTTGAATTGCTTACTCAGACCATAGTAGCATCTGTTTACCAACACTATTCATCTCCGGATTCCAATGCAAAGGTTGTTAGTTTTGGTTTATGGCGGTACTGAGGTATATAAAATCACTCAATACCTCGAAGCTGTTGATTTCAAGTTCCACAGTTGGTACGAGTCTACTGGACATCTTGCACGTTGATACCATCTCTGTGGTCTTCTCGCCATTTACTGCCAGGCAGACTCCTCAATTCGTTCAAAGGTGGATGTTACCGCTCGAAATGTTCGACCCAATATATCGATGTCATCAGCGTAGGCGAGTAACATATGCTGTTTAAAGTACAGAGTGTCATGTCTGTTCACATTTTATTCTCGTATGATCATTTCCCGCAGGATGTTAAAATGGTCACCCGCTGTCAAGCTGTCACCTTGTTTGAATCCTTGTACGGCATTGAAGGGCTTCGAGAGGTCATTTCCGACTTTAATTGCTAACCTTTAACGTTAAAGTTATCCTGCATAGGCGTATTAATTTTGCATATATTCCGAACGCAGAAATAGCTTTAAATACCTCTGAGCGGATTGGGCTGTCGAGTGCGGCAAAAATGTGGAACGTGTCAATGTATTTTTTGGCGCAATGTGAAAATTTGGTCTATAGTGGATCTGTCAGGCCTGAATCTGCATTGGTAAAATCCAATAATATCATTGACCATTGGCTTCAGTCGATCACATAGCACACTGGACAAGACTAATTCCTCTATAGTTGGCACATATCGTCTTGTTTCCTTTTTTGTGCATGGGGCACAGAATGCTGAGGTTCCAATCATTGGGTAGGCATTGCTCTAGCCAAATAGTACTAATCCGTTGGTGCATGATGCTCCTGATCAGCGTCTTATCACCGGTCTTGATTACTTCGGCTGCTAATCCACCGACACCAGCTGCTTTATT